GTGTGTGTGTGTGTGTGTGTGTGTGTGTGTGTGTGTGTGTGTGTGTGTACACAGTAGGTTACATGCAAAAGCTAGAGGAACGCCATAGATGTGAATACCTTCTCTGTTCACTGCATAGCAGTAATGTCACACTGTTTCTGCAGGCACTTCCTTGTCCACAGACTCTTGGCTGCCTGGGAAGAGTTCTTGTTCCCATCCAGTTCTGACACACGTATGACTATAATTCTATGCTGAAAAAAACTATCTCAGATTGCAACCAGACCTTTCTATTGTACTTGAGAAAATAGTCTTTATGTCTTGTGCTGTAAACCCTTACAACTCTCAAAGAACAAACAAACAAAATAAATCCCGAAACCTCTTCATTATGAGTGGTCCACCATCTGTGCCCACTGTCTGTACTCAGACACAGCTCAGTACTGTCCACAGGCAGGAAAAAAAGCCTTCTTCAGGGCTATTCAGAAGATATTTACCTGAGTTTCCTGGGACCAAGCAGAAGAAAACAGCACAGAGTAGCAAAGCCTTCATGCTTTATGGCTCCCTCTCTGGGCAGGAAAGCAGGTGTGACTAATGACAGAGTTAAGCCAGGTGGGGAAGGAAGACAAGACCTTTATAGTTTTGGAGAATGCTACTCAGATGTGAAGGCATTTATCTGCTCTACTGAGTTAAGCTGTGGGCAGAAAGTGCCAGGTAATCTTTCTTCTTTGCCTAAAAATAGACCACAGTGGCATTCCCTAGAGGCAGAGATAGGCCAATTTAGCATGTGCAACTTGAAGAAGGACCTTGGGAGACTGGCTGCTGCACACAGGCCCTGTGGTAGGCTGGGAGGTGACAGAGACTTAATCGTGTAAAGATGTGTCCTTGGCCTTCGAAGTGTTCGGCTGGGCAGGACCCACCTCAGCTGAGAACACCACAGAGACTGTTCTGAGCAGAAGCCACCCCCAGAGAGCTGCTCAACAGAAACGCAGCCCCATATGCACACACAACTTCCAGTATAGTGTGACTTATCACAGTCCGTAGACAAGAGTTAGGCGGCAGATTATGACATAAGGAGACAATTAGCGATTTCCCACACAGCAGTGAAAATAGGAGAACGTGACAGCAGCAGCAGCAGAGGGATGCAAAGAGGCCAGATACAACACACCAAATTCACAAATTTGCAAAAGGAAAACTACTAGAAGGCGGAATGCTGTCCACACTGGGAGAGGAAGGCATATCTCACATCTGTCGAGGTCCTCTCCACTTGAAGAGGTCAGTTGGAGGGGTCAGGGAGACAGAAAGCAATCTTTAGGAAGGGGGTCCCAAGCAGAATCCAGGGCAGATGATCCTGAAACAGATAGTCAACGCAGCTACTCATCCTGTCCTTGTTTTAGTCTCTGGTCAGTTGGATTTGCTTCTCTTAAAATTCCAATAAAAATGGAAAAATCTTTGCCCTTGAACTCACAGCAGTTGTGGTTACCCATTCAAAATTGGACTGCCCAAACAACCTGCCATGGAGAAGGGGAGAGACTCAAGCCTAGCCCCTCTCTGAGGATCTGACATCTTATCCAGCGGCGTAGATATAACTAAGGTCTCCATGTTCCTGTGAGGAACTCTTCATAACTGTTCCTGTAAGCAACACAAGTGGAGCTCACTAGGTCAATTAAAAAGGCAAAGGACACAAAAGTAGGGAGTTAAAATTAGACCAAGTTATGCAGAAGTGGGAGGGGATACAAGAGAGCAATGGGCGTGAATGTGACCAAAATATGAAGTATACATGCGTTAAGCTGCCATAATGAAACTCGTTATACGTAATTAATATGTATCAATCATAAACCAAAGAGTAAAAGAAAACAAGCCTATCCTCAGGGCTCCCATGGCAATTCCAGTAGTTTCTCATTAACCCTTCCAATAACTTCTAACTTCTGAGTGGATGTATAGGCATCCATAGCCTCATTGCTAAACAAACAGCAGACTTCACCCATTACTCTGCTCTTTCCTTTGTTTGGATGGCATATGTTGGAGAGATGTTTTAAGTGGGAATATGGAAAGCTTTCTCATTTTTATGACAGCTTCATAATGTTCATGCCGGCTGACCTCCCCCTCAGCTACCCAGACGAGAGCACAGGTACTTGACCTCTAGCCTGAGCAAAAGTGCATTTTGACAAAAAGGAGTAAAACACAATGCCAGACCGAGCTGTGGCTGAACAGTGAGTTCCCTCCACAGAGAGGACAGCCAAGAGTCCATCAGACATTTCCAGCTCTGCAATAATGATCAAAGCCTGAGGACCCTGGCAACTGATCCCCAGGCCTTTCTGTCCTTTGTAAAAGTTCATGAAGTTGCTACCTAGGATCAAAATAAGTTGTGTGAAAATATCGAAGAATTAGTACAAAAATATGAAAAAAAAAATAAAATCAAAGTACCAATAAAAATGAGACGACAGGATAAATGGGACCCTGAAATTGCTCTGTGCCCACAATCAATCATAAAAATAATTTAAAATAAAATGGACCATTGCCCTGAGCGATACTTATGAATTAAGGATGTAAAGCAGATATGAAACGTGCAGGTGTGAAGATCAGACTCAGGCTGACAGCTATGCCATCTGCCAGAACAACTGGAGCTTAGCTCCTCAGGACCCCGCAATTGTACATATGAACCTGCGTCTCTGCTGGGACACTGAGGAGATTGTCAGTGAGCTCCACTTTCTCATCTCCCTCCTTTACAACGGCATACCTCACTCTCCAGAACGAATTCGTGAGAGTCACTTTTCTCAGTCTCCTGCCTGGAAACAGACTCATCTCTGGAGGAGAAGGAAGTGGAGTAAATAGTGATCCTATTCGTTTATTTTGGCCCCCAAGAAGTTGATTGTCCAACCTAGGTCATGAAGTTTTCAAACTGTACTGGAGGTTTTTAAACTATAATTTCATAGCCTCTCACTAGTGGCATTTAATGTACTTACATTTTTATAAATGTATACATAGGTACTGAATTGTGATTGCATTGACTCATCATTACTTCTTTTTATTCCCCACTTTCTTTTATTTGTTTGTTTGTTTTTGGTTTTTCAAGACACGGTGTTTCTGTGTAGCCTTGAACTTGATTTGAGTTCAGGCTGGCCTCAAACTTACAGAGATCTGTCTGCTTCTGCTTCTTCAAGCTTCTTCAAGCATAGGTCACTGAGTATCTCTGCCCAGTTTTGATCACGTTTTTTGCTGGAGGAATCCTGTGGTTTCTGTGGTTGCCTCACAAATGTACAATAAAGACTTTCCTTGGAGTTTATTTTCAATGACAGAAGCAGAGTTGGTCCGGGAATGGCATTTACCTGAGACAGTGGCAGCACTGAATGGGAACAAGAGTAGAGAGGTTTGGTCCAAGCATTCTTTGTTGTTTATTTTGCATCTGGAATGTTGCTTGGGTACCAGTGAACACCCATCAAATAAGCCACTGAAGGGACCAGAAGACAATTTTATCCCCCCATGTTAACAAAAATTAATCTTTGCTATACTGACTAAAGACAAGCATTAAAAACAACAAAGCAAGGTAAGAGCAACAGCAGCAGGGCTGAGGAGGGAGGGTTAGGAGGCAGAGCAAAGCTTATGGCATGCAGAAGGCACCACTTTGGAATTTGAATAGATGAGGGCCAAATCTGAGCCACCGTGCCAAGAGAAGAAGAGAGAGGCACACCTGAAGGAGTAGTTAGAGCAGGTGAGACAGGAAGCTGAGTCAGCCTGGAGGGTGTGGTATACTGGGAGCCAGAGACCTTTCAAAGAAGAAACAATGTCAAAATACAATTGATAAAATTCCTATCAGTTAAAAGCCATATGAAAATAGGGCCGTTGATAGGGCTGATGATTTTCAGATGAAGTTAATAGAAGTGTCATGAGAGTCAGACCTGCCATGAGGCTTTTGTTCTGTCATCCACTGCTAGGTGTGGAGACACTGCTGGAGCTGGTTGACCTGGCACAGCCACATGCCTAAAGGAAAATGACTCCCCTCACCCAGAAACCATCAGCTCTCAAAGGCAGAATAACAGGGAAGGAGGTTTAACGGGGAGGGGCAGGGAAGACAGTGGGATGGGGGAAGAATGACTAACACTAGGGAGTTTTGGAAAAGCTAGGGGAAAGGGAGGATGAGGGAGGGAAAGTGGGACCAGGAAGAGATGAGGGAGGGGACTACAATTGGGATATAAAATGAATAAATTGTAAAAATAAAAATAAAAGAAAAGCCACATGGAAACCTACTATTTTATATATACACATATATGCATACACAGAGAGAGAGGGGTTATATAGAGCTTAATTGGAGCTACCTTACAGAGGGGAATCTTGCTCCTCCCAGGAACCAGAGGTTGCCAAATAATTTTTACTTTTAAAAATAATTCATTGCCCTCTGAGGAAATGGAATGCTAGGTGCTAAATTCTTCCTCTCAATATTCCGTATTACGACCCATTTTCTTATATCCTGATTGTTATATTTGCACATTATTGAAAGAGTGAAATTATGACTTTGGGGACTGGCAGGAGGGCCCAGTGATAAAGAGCACTTTCTGCTCTTGTGGAGAACTCAGGTTCTGTTCCCAGCACCCACATCAACTTGCAACCATCTGTAACTACAGTTTCAGGAGATCCCATCCACTCTGCTAGCCTTCATGAGCACCAAGCCTATACACGTCATATGTACATCAAAGCAAGCAAATAAAGTAAAATACATAAATATAATAAAAATAAATATGATGAGTAAACAAAATAACATAATTACGACTATGTCCTTCTATGCCGATTCTCTATGAACTTGATCCTGTTAGTCCTTGAAGTCACATCTACGGTGGATTAGCCTATCCTTATTCAAAGTCTGCTTCATACTTAAAATTAATTAGATGAAGTGATAGGGGACAGAGGAATGGCTAGAGGCCTTTCCGTCTCCATGTTGCAGGACGGAGTCTGCAGGTACACAGCATTAGTTGCTTAGCAAACACACATTGTTCCACTAGCTTGTTTTGAGCCAACACTGCGGGCAGGTAATGCAGACAGTGGCGTCACTCAGTCTTCCAAGAAGCAGCTGAACCCAGATGTCCAGGAAACGAGGAAGAGTGCAGGGGAATGGTAAAAGAGGCACACACATCACAAGTCTCATAAATGACGACTTGGCCTGAGGGGCCAACCTCGGCTCCTGTGTGACTGACTGCCTCTGTCCCTCCCTTACCCATGAGGTCTGCTGACTGCAGATGAGAGAAAAGACAGCTTGTTTTCAAGGAGCCTGTCTCTCTGCCTTCTCACATCCCTGGCTCTCTGGACAAAGCACTACTTAAAGATCCAATCCCTTCCAACTTCTAGCTGTTACAAATAAAGCTGCTATGAACATGGTTGAACAAATGTCCTTGTTGTGTACTTGAGCATCTTTTGGATATATGCCTAGGAGTGGTATAGCTGGATCTTGAGGAAGCACTATTCCTAGTTGTCTGAGAAAGCCCCAGATTGATTTCCAAAGTGGTTGTACAAATTTACATTCCCACCAGCAATGGAGGAGGGTTCCCCTTTCTCCACAA